TGCAGGTCCGCACTCACTTGCTCTACCATTTTAAAAATGGTTAATGTTTGTGTGAGAATTAGAAACAAATGAACAGATGGCTTTCTGTCAAGCAAAGAAGTGTTATTTCTACAGATATGTTCTGAATCTGAGCAGCAAACAGCAGTGCAATATATAAATAAGTGAAAATACTGACACATGTGCCCCACTTCTGTCCAGGGGTCTCTATATTGCAGTACCAATTCGTATTTTATTTATAAAATAAAATACTTATTTCTATTTTTATGTATTCAGTCAGAGTCAGCCTGTGTTAATTAAGCAAAATCAGTTTTTAGCTGATATCACTGGGCATTATTTCTTTGAACCCTTTTCAAGGAAGGAATTTAGTAATGTTCCTGGACATCTTGTTATGCTCCTTTTACTTTTGGGATGGAGATAGTTACCAAATCTCCATTTATCTACCTTGATTCTCAACCCCTTGCATTAGGCAGAGCCATGTGGTTCCGTCCAGGGGGCCATAGGAGGAAATGATGTGTGTCACTTCTGTAGTAAAGCATTTAAGAGCTGGTGTGCGGCCCTTCCATGTCTTCCTCTCTGCTGCAGTCAGCTTGGAGGCCATGAGTTGCTTCACACACAGAATATCCTCAGATTGCTGGATCACTGCATGGGAGAGCGGTGGCCTGGACACGTACCCTTCTCACCTCAAGATTTGTATGAATAGGATATAGACCTTTATGGTGTAAAGACTCTTAAAACATAAGCCTGACTTTTCTGAGTAACCCAATCTATTCACCTATTCATGTCCTACTTTTACTGCCTTGAATTATAAGATGCTCTCGTCAAGACTAGATAATTTCTATGTCAGCATACCCGTGTCAGCTAGACTGCAGCAATAGTCTGAAGTTTCAGTTTTGAGGATGAAAGGAGAAAATTCTTACTGTCTACCTTACCTGGAATCTCTTGTCAACTGAAGACCATGTTTTGACTGGGGTTTTTGTTAGCTGTCCTTAATTCCTTGATGCATATTTTGAAGTATATTTCCTTCATAAGAAATATAATGTTACACTAAAAGGAACTTCGGCAAAAGCCCCAAGAAAGAAAGATTGTTCTCTGATCTGTTCAAGTATTAGTGACTTTGGTTCACTGTGACTTTTCTGCTACTCACAAATAAGCCCTGATAATGAATGAACTGCTTCTAGACCTAACAGGGAATACAAACAGTTTAGTAAAATGTTAGACTAAATGATTTTATGTTAGCAGCTGCTCTCCTACATAAAGACTGCTTGGATAGTGGGTATTTTCCCAACAATATTGGTAATTCAGTCCTCAGTAGTTGAAATCTTGTTATCCTGGACTGAATTACATGAACTGCTCAAAATCACATACAGCAAATTTATAGAAGAGGTAATTATTGTTTATTTGAGAACTAACTGAGTAGACCAATGATAGCCAATGAGATCAGTTCAGCTTTAGAAATGCTATTTAGGATTCCAGCAACTTGAAGCGTCAAGTGTCTTCCTTATCTGACAAAGTCTATTAAACATGAAAAATAACCAAATGATGCTTATGCTAGAATATGCCTCAAAGGTGAATGAAAACTATATCCTAGCCTAACAATCCAGGGAAGATTTTATCTTGACTTTCTTGCTTAGTGGAAACATGAGTTCTTATGTCAGTTGAGAAAACTACAGCTTGGAAATATTTTTGTCACAGGGTTCCGAAGTCTGCATGAAGTTATCATTCTCACTTCAGGGCTATAGGTGTCACATAAGTATGCCAACAGCCAGACAAGTATTATATGCAGCCTAACTAAATGCACTGCATGCACATCCTATCTGAGCAATCAGCTAAGAAAGGCTGGTATAGCTAAACAAGTGTTCGTCTTGGGTTCCTTGCTCAATGATTTACTTAATTTGCTTTATGATGCATCCTATTCTCTATCATGTGTAGGCCAGCCCTTAAATGTAATGTTTAACCAGTTGACTTTGTCATGTGTTGTCAGTCATGATTCCCCACAATGTTCAGACCCAGCTCTAAGAGATTCTGGGAAGTGGCGTAAGCCAGCTGGATGGGAAGAATGGAATAAAGATTGCTTAGAACAGAGGCAGAACTGAAGCTGAATAAATTTCAATTTGTACAGGAAGCTGAATATGCTGAATATATGTGCTTAGTGAATATTTCTAGTAATTGAAAGTTACCATCTTTAAAATACCACTTTTCAGAGGACCCACAAAGCCTTTATGCTTTAAATTATCTTTAGCCAGAGTTGAAGACTTATAACCAACTCTCAGTGCCTGTAGAGTTAGTATATGGTGGAAAAGCTTGGCCATTTTCTAGCCCTGTGATACTTTTAAGGCCACTTATAAAGTCTCTTGCCCTAAGTTTTCCCATCTGTAAAGTGGGAATAAGAATACTTGCTGTCTTAGAGGGTGACAATGAATAATAAATGAATTTGTATATATGAAATGCTTGGAGCATTGTCTGATACAAAGTAAATGCTGTATAAATGCTTGCTAATATTATTTTAGGGATCTTACAGGCACTATGTATAATGTATAAAATACTAAAGCTGTGCAAATAATATCCTAAACAAAAACTGTTAAAAGTAATTTAATCCTTTTGCTATGGAATGAACATTATCACCTCTAACTGCACTGTGTTAATTTAAAATGACTATTCAATTTTATATGCCTTATGGAATAAGCTATAACTTGCTTTTCAAAAATAAATCCCAGATGGCATTTATCTCCTGCTCATAAAATAAAGTCTAGAAAAAAAGAAATAGTCATTTTAATTTTATGACAAACAAAACAACACAGAAGTCAAGATGATGGGTAAATGGGGCACTATTTTTATGACTGAGTACATTTCAATTTTCTAATAATCATCTCATCCTTTGGCCAATAATTTCCCAATTCTGTTGGAATGAAATTAGCTTCTAAGTGTTTAGGGATGGAATTTCACTTTCATATATAACTACTGAGTTAATTTTTAGAAAGACCATAAAAGACAGGATGTTATTTTTAAAATATCATCTGTAGTATTACTTAAATGATGAACATGTTCTTTGATAACATGTAAGGTGTAAGCAGATATTTAAAGAGACATATAGTAAATTTTGAGGGTCATTTATCAATATACAAAGGGCCATACAGTCTCAGTCACAGCTCCTTAAACGATGACCTTGTAGCATGAAAGCAGCCGTCCATAGACAACAAGGAAATGAATAGATGTGGCTGTGTGCCAATAACACCATATTTAGGAGAACAGGCAGCAGCATGATGGATCTGGCCCATGGACTATAGTTTTCTGTCCCCTGGTCCATAGAATTCCATTTCCGTCCTTATTTTTACTAGGGTAAAAAATACATGTACATGTATATAATGTGTACTTGCACACTTGTACACATGTGTGCATGTGTACTTGAAAATCATGAAGGTAAGTATAAAAACTATGCAACATTAAGGAACTTAAAGAGGAAACATTTTCCTGATATTTTCTTTGTGATATTTTATTCAGCATTCATTGATTAAGTACCAAAGGACTATTTCTGTCTGAACAAGGTCCAGAGCTGATCTGCCATTTCAAATTTTTTTTAAGATCAATCTACAAGTTTTAATACACTTTTAATCAAAACTACCTTTAACAATTCTTTAAGCAGTCTTAAATTATTGTATATAGACCTCTGTATAATAATGTTTTATATATTCCAAATTTAAGAACTACTGAACTGGACTAAAGGGGGAAAAAAAATCTGTATTCAGAAGTCTGGTTGGTCAAATTTTTTTCCCTAAAATAACTGTCAAATTATTTGAGGGAATGGAACATGCAACTGTTTCTCCTTGCCTGCAGGATTTTCTTTATTTTTTTTTAATGTTAAGCTTCCTGAACTGTAATGTTCATTAATAGACTTTTGGTGCTGCACATTCTGTGTGAATTCTCACAGAGTAGGTGAACTAATACACGTCAAAGCACATAATACAGAACCTGGCCCAGATAATGTTTGTGACTTTTGAATAAACTCTTGTCTGCTCTTACCCATATACACAGTTCTCTGAAGGGTCATAGAGAAGAAATGAGCCACCTGCTTCTTCCTTCCCAAGTTTACATTCCCTACTGGGTCATGAAGTGTAGTTAATAGCTATCACCGTTTGAGTCTTAGGGTTCCTTACTTGTAGAGTAGTATCTTCCTTCATATGATGGGATCCACTCTACCGGGTGTGAAACCACACAGGCTTTGGCAAAAACACATAGAGATGCATAGATTTAGACACCTGTTGTAAGAGAGCAGGACTTCAAAATGGGCCTCAGCTCTTCCCCTTGCATTTACCACTTATTATTGAGGATGATTATACCTTAATGGCTTAGAAGCTACAAGAAAAGCCTAGTGCCTTCTCGTAATTGTGTTTATTTCTAGGTAGCACTCCAGTAAGAAGTACTCTGTGTTGTTCTAGTGGAATTTCTAAGCAGAACTTCTAATCCAGAATGACTTTAGGATTCTGAATGTCAAGATAAGTTTAGTGCTATACAGAGAAAATTTAATTAGTTAAATTCCTCTGCATCCTGTGCTGGAGGGAATCAATACAAACTGGGCTAGAGGCCCAGTCCTCTAAAGCTTACTGGATATAATTAATGATTTAATAGTATGAGTATATTCTCTTGGGAGAGAATATAATTGCTAGCTATTTATTAGCTGAAAACAATTTACACAATTTAAAGTTTTGTTTTTCCTTGGATAATACTTATGAAGCTTCACTGGAGTGAAGCTAGGAAGTAGAAAAAGCATACAACAGTTGACATTTTTACTTTTTTCCAAACACCTGAAAGAGTGTCTAGCTGATTGTAAATGTTCACATATGACTATAGAGATCAACCATGAAGTTCATCTCACAGTCTCATAGCTACCCAGTATAAAAAGAGAAAGCCATGAATTGAATTTGGTATGGATATACATGATATAATTAATGTATATGGATTAGATATTATTAATTACTAATTTCCTAAATTCTTTTTTTTAACAGAAATAAGCCAGAACACGTTATCAACCCTTTGAGAACACAGCACAACGGACTTCCTTTACTACTTCCTTGAATAGGTAAGACCCTGTTCTCTCTACAATAGAAGAGCTACTCACAATTCTGAAAAATAACTCTTTGTTAAGGAGATTTTAAAAAAATCTTTATAAATAAATATCAATTCATTTTGATAAGGGAGAAATACACATGAATGCCACAGGTAATAGATTTAGGATTATTAAAATAGCACTGCATGATGTTTTGAGTGTTTTAACAGTGAAAGAATGAAAAATTCATTCTCTAAAATGAGGATCAGACTCATCCTGTCTCCCCTGCTATTGCTAACAATACCAGCAGTAGTTTCTGAACACTTACTATGTGCCAGGCATGATCCTACATGACTTACTGTCCATAAACTAACCCATTAGTTCCTTACAACAGCTCTGTGAGTAGATATAGGGATCACCCCCAGGGGCATGAGGCAGAGAGAAAGGAGGCAGGTAGATTTAGGAGTTTGCCCACAAAGTTGTATACACAGGTCTGGGAGTCGCAGGCACTGAAAGGCCCTCCAGCCCTTGCTGTTATGGGAGAGCAGTTTCATGCTGTGGTGGAAATGCCCAGCCATTAGGCTCTCCTGTGTTCTGAGTTGGTTCTCTCTTAAGTTATAGAACAAAAAAATTCATTTACTGAAAAGCCATAGCAAGTAAACATGTATTTGATGTTTGTACTTGTTATTTTACAGTTGTTGCATTGAGAAATAATAAAGGAATGTATGTAAGTAAAGACATACGAAGGTATATAAGTAAATAAAGGAGTGTATATACTTTAGGTTAGTTTACAAGCAGAAAGAATATTTGACTTTATTTTACATCTTCCTTTAAACCCTAAATTCCTCGATAAAAGCAGAATAATGTGACAAAAGGGATACAAATGAATGATTGCTTCATCTAGGAAATGAAGACTACATTTTCATTTAATTTCTTCTTATTAGAAGGACTGAATATCCAGTCTTAAATTGGCCACAGCAATGTAAGTTTCACTGCTTTTACTATTTCTTTATTATTTTGCTTCTATCAAGAACATTTACAAAATTTTCAAAGCAAAATATAGAAAACATTGTAATAAATACCTAAATATCAGCCACGTGGATTAAACAACTGCTAATATTCAGTTTTCTTCAAATATTCATCTTTTCTAAAGAAAGAAACCATCACAGAAAAAGCAAAAGCTCACTTTGCTCCCTTTCCTTTCTTCCTAAAAGGTGTCACAATCCTGATGATGATACAACCTTCTTTTGCATGTTCTAATGGTTTAATGGCATGTTCTAATAGTTCTAATTATTTAATGTGTATAAAATATTATGTCATATACTTATCTGTACTTGAAAAGTTTACCCAAATGGTATCATACTATAGATATTCTCCTGCAGCCTGCTTTCACCCACCGTTATATTTAGAGATTCATGCATATAGATATATGAAGCTCTGGGTGACTCATTCTGTCATAAAGTTGACTCATTTTAATGTTTCAATCATCTGATGCTTACTATTATTAATTATTACTTCTAAATAACTTTCAGAAACTTGAAGATTTAATGCTAAAACGATTTAAGTATGGCTTTCAAAGTATCTTTGGGATTTGTGTGAAAGAAATTTGAAGTTCTTAATATGTGACATCATGCCAATTCTGTTTATGTTCATTTTTTTCTATTAGGAACGCATTTGCTATGGGCTCTAAGGATCTTGGTAACTAATGGGACTTACACTTTTACTACTTTGTCATAACACAATAATTGAAATCTGTTTTATTTACCCACAGGTGAAATACTGACTATTCCCAAATACAATGTAAATACTCCCTTTGAAATTTAAAAGATACTTAATAAAAACACTCTTGTTGGCTCATGGTAATTGCTCATATTCCCTTCCAAAATCATGAGAGAAACTTAAAGAATTTTTCCTAATTTTTTCTAACACTGAAGTTAATTCTAGAATTTAAGGTAAAAGGCCAATCAATATACACTAGGTAGATTTATAGATGTAGAATCTTATGACTGTTTTATTCTCTGAAGGAAGTAAATTACTACTCTGGCAGAGTCAGGCCAGGAAAGAACAGATAAACTAACTTTGCTGGGCTAATATGAGGAAATACAAGACTTGATGTAGGCCTTGTAGGTCAGAAGCGCAGTGCAATTTTGCATATGTGGAAATTGAGGACCCTGTGTGTCAGCAAACTTAGTCAAGATCATATAATGATTGTAAGGCCTAGATTCAAACTCATCTCTCCTAGACTCCAAAACTATACTGCCTACCAGAAAAAGAATTGGGAAAACCTAACTTATGTGACATATAAATAGCAGTTTCATTTATTCCACCAGTATTTTATGTGAGTTGAAGGAATTGATGTTAGAAAAGCAAGGAATGCACAATATCCACCCATAGTGAGTAAACAGGCTGACAATAGCAAAGGTCCCTTCAATGACGCCATAAAGGTGACTATTTAATTAGAGATCTCTATTTTGCTCTGCTATCTTAACATTGTTTACCAGGAAATTACCTTTGTAGTCACCTAGCCATGCCTATTAAATTTAATTGAATGGGATAAGAGGAGTGCAAATGTTTTGTAAATGACCAAATCTTTGGAATCATTTGTGAATATTACTAATTATTCTGTAAAATTTAGAACTGAATTTTTCAAACCTAATACATATAATTCTAAATATAAAGGTTGATGTATGCCTCTGAAGTTTAGTAGTATTAACTTCATATAGGATCAGCATCTCTTTGAACACAAAAGCCCCATGTAAACATTACAGTGTAGTAAACACCCTGATGATTTATTTCCAGCTCCACCACCTTTTAGAGGCACATTGTTTAACCTCCTTAAGCCTCATAACAGATAATAATAGTACCAAGCTCATGCTTGTTCAGAATCTGATAATTTCTCATGATCTCTACCTGTTTCATTGGAATCCACTTTCTCTCACCTTGACCTCTGCAGTAGCCTCCTTTGTTCAATCTTGCTCTTCTGTAGTCTATTGTTCACATAGTGTGATCTTTCATTCCTCTAAAATCAATTGATAGGAGTCCACCAATGGCTGCCCATAATAGTCAAAATATAGCCCACACTGCTGCTGTGGCCAGCAAGGTGCTATGTAAACAGGCATCTTCTGCCTCCCTAACATCATCTCAACATCCTCTCCTCTCTTGTGCGACCTTCTGAGCTATGTCTGTACGAGTGTCCCTGTCTTGGTGGTCCTCACTTGATGAAGGACTGTACAGGCATGCAAAAGTTACTGTGGAATGTGTACAATATCTTTAGTGTACATCAGTGATGGTTGCTGTTTTAAGGAATCTTTCAGTTTGTCTTAGTAGAATCCATCACTTCTGGAATGCTGAGGCACTTTCATGCATGTTTTTGACACATGATTTTTAAAGCATTATGACACAACTTTACACTGAGGATATGTAGTTGAATCTTAATATATAGAACCAACACACAAGGCAAATTAAGGATAAATTAGCCGGGTGGAAATGAGAAAGCAATTTTAAGAGCAAAAAATATTTATTATTCCATGCCATCTTTTATCCAAATAATTAAGATTTGTCACAGCCTGACATTGCTTAAATTTTGCTTTGTCCTCAGAATAGATTGATGTCTTTTCATCATTCATAGATGGATGAAATTTATCCTTTCAGACCATTTTCTGTAAAACAGGCTGACATTTTTGTTGTTGTTTTATTTTTACAATATTCCTTGGGAGTAGCACTTGAGTGTTTACATCGTGAAAACACTTGGCGAGAAAGAAACAAACAGTAGGACCACAATGCCCCAACAGTTAAAGAAAAGAGAAAACCTGGCATTTTCCCCATCCTCTCTGAAAATAATAAGTACCTTGACTTGTGCTGAGTGCTGTCTCATCAGGGTTTAGCTTCAGTCCACGGCACACAATGTGAAAAATTTTGAAAACATTCTAAAAATAGATTTTTTGGGTAAATTAGGATATCAGATGTTCCCTTTATGAAAGCCTCTCCTAATCTATACTATCAGCTGGCAGTCACACCAGACCCCAAACTGTTCTGACTCTTACTGAGCAAGAACCTATTCCAGGGGTGAGGTTTTGAAGAGGGATGTCTTGTGGTTAACTAGAGACAGAAAGATGGAGAATTGCCCACAGTCTCTGGCAGGAGTTAAAATAACAATAACAGTCCTCCTACTTAACAGGCTGAGTCATAAGCACATTCTGCTGATTTATCAGCAATTCCAAGCAGATTGTTTGGGCTGCAATTCTGTAGGCAGAGGTGGGTGCCACCTGCTGTAAAAGGCTCTAGTTCTTGTCAGGAGGGTGCTGTTATTCAGCCTTCCCTTTTAGCAGTTTGGCCAAAAGGAGAAAGGAAAGAACAAAAATGTATTGCTGAGGAGCACTTTTTCTAATGCTTAGAATTAGAAGGTGGTTATTATGCGTATAGTTCTTGTACTGTCCATGAGTATACATCATTTTAAAAGAGCAGCTTATTGTGGAAGGTCTTAAAAGTCAAATCTTGTTGCAAGTTTGACTTCAGAAAATTCTGTAGAACAGTTGCAGTAATCTCATCTCAGTTAATTTGGAGAAAGGGTCAAGACCAATGGAAACCTACTTTGTGCTTAAGCAGAGAAGGGAAATTATTATATGGTAACTGAGCCACCTCATAATCTGAGGGCTGTGCACTCTCACTTCCTCATCCTAGGCCTCCGGTGCATGTACCTGACCCTTTCAGTGGCCTTTGATGAATCTCCCATTTCCAAACTCTTTTAAAACCGAGCTCTCCTGCATGCTGGCACCATATGATTTTTTTTTTTCTTATACATCAGATCATTTCTTTTTCCTACTTAAAATTTTCCAATGATATAAAAGTCCAAACTCATTGAAGACCCTTCAAAACAGGGCTCCAAGCAGCTATTTCTAGACAATCTACAATTCCTCCCTCCTACTCAATTGCCTTTCTTTCCTTCTAACCACGACAGACCACTTACTGCTTCTTCAAATTAATACCTCTTTGTATACCATGTTTTTCTCATGTTACTATTGCCTTTGTCACTT